CTGTTGACGTGTTCCTTTCATTATTTACTCAATTCACGAAAGAAAGTTTTTCGCTGGTTATAAATAACGTCGGGTTTCTATAAGAATGTTACACGCTAGCTAAAGTTTCGTTATTATCTTCACGCGACACGCGTTCTAACGTCATTCATTGAAATCGCAAATCGCGAGAAGGTCTTTTATTTATGAGCGCATCTAAAATGCAAAAGCCCGGAAATTTTTTCGTCTATTAAAATTATGCGTTTATGCGGTGAATTTGTTCGCACTTTGTATACATATATATATATTTTTTCTCGAGCGAAAATATGTTTGTAACAGCATTATATTATATGTCAGAACCATCGCGTTTTTCACTTCGTGTGTACAAAGAAAAACGTATTTCACATTTTCCGACGTTCTTCAGAGTACCGTGGAGAAGCGTATGTTATTACATGATACGAGCTTCGATAAATATCGCAGAAACTAACGATATTAGCGTAGTTGCTTGTGTCATCAGACATAATAAAACCGCTGGGAAAAAAATTTCAATTTTCGTCTGTACCGTTGTCTTTTGTTTGAATACGAACCATGTACCTGAGACTTGATATTCTTATCAACGAGGAAATTATTATCGGTTTCCACGACCTCGTATTTTACGTAGGTACCATACGATACAACAACTTTATCCCGCGTACCGCAGTGACGAGGCAATTAATTCACGTGACAACGATTGAAGCCATTAATTTTCAATTGATCGGCCTGACATTAATCGCAGGTTTATTAATTAGCTGTGAGATTCAAGGATAACGGCAAACCGGAAGAACGTCATCCTTGAGTGAGTTACGGAGCAAATTGCAATGTTTATGCTAATTCTGATGTTGCATATTGTTTCGGAGATGGCATTAGGGGTTATAAAATCTTCACGCATGGAAAAAGGCACTTTCAGTAAAATGTTTACTGTTATGAATACTAAAGGTACATAAAGAAACCTTATAAACGTAATCTTTAGAGATTTTATGAGAAAATATCGCATAAAAAGTTGGAAAAAAATAATTTTTTTGAAAGTTATGAATCAAAAGAAATTAGAAAAGTTATGAATATTTAAAAAATATAATATTTGGCAAAAAACCCAAACAAGATTTAATAAATTCCAATTCTCTTTATATCAAACGATACCTTTATCGATTGATTCTAACATAAATTTAAAAAAAAATTTTTATTATTTTTTAAATAGCAATAAAAGAACTAAATTTTTCGTGATAGTTTTATCAACTCTTACTACACACGATTGGGCCATTTATATCCTGCGCCTTCTTCTTCTTTGAGATACTAGGAGCTCGTATAGGATATTAAATACTAGGGCTAAGGTACTAGGGCTTAGATACTAGGGCTTAGGTACTAGGATTGAGATACTAGAGCTAGTGGTCTCTGTCCTTTCCTCTTTTTTAATATACTTTATAAATATTTTTTGAAGGTGTTAAAGTATATGTAAGAATACTTAATAATTTTTGTATACTGTAGAACGACATTGCAGTGATAATAACTTCCACAGTCATAAAGCACGGATTGCAACCATTCGTGTGTAAAATTGATCGATAAAAATGAGAAAGATAGAACGCGAAGATGGTCAGTCTCTGTCTCTTTCTATTCAATCAATCATATGATAGAAAGAGAAGAAGATTGCCACTCCCTCTCTTTTTCTCTCATTTTTATTGACCACATATTTGATATATTATTTAGATACTAATAGCGCAGTCGATACTCTATATCTGTGATAACTTTCAATATTTATTCATAAAATAAAAATTGTTCGTATCTGTGTAATTGTTTTGTGATGGCGATGTTATTGTTATTTGTCACTGAGGAGTAGTGTAAGTACGCGCGTATATATAAAAATTAAAAATAAATTCTATCATAAATTCAAAAAGAAAAATTTTATTTTCGCACAAATAAATATTTCTAGCAAGTAATGTTTTATGAGTTCAAAGTTTCGTTTTGTTTTACGTGAATCATATTTTATTTATCGAAATCATATTTTATTTTTTTTTAGGACTGTTATTTTGAAATAATTAAATCGATGAGACGTCTTTGATAGTATTGGGGCAAATATGATATGAACTAAGTAAATCCCATATCATTTATATGATTTGAATAATAATCCATATTATTTCCTAATCTTCTGTCCTATTATAATCTCAAATTGTTATTTTGTTTTGTATAATTTCTTTTTCAATAATTTTTGTATTAAAGTCTTTAAAATGGTTCAAAATTACAAAAAAAAATTAGTTTATTACTATAAAGACATTTTTATTTCGTTTTTTTAATAAAACCAGTTTATTTGATCGATTTCATTATTGTTTTATTTACTAACATATATAGCAGACTTCTGTAACACAAAAAAATGGGCTATTAAAATGACCCCAATTGAAATATAAAATTGATAGCTACATCATTTTATTTCTCTTTCCAAAAATATTAATTAAAAAAAAATTTTTTTAATAACTGAATTGAAAGTATAGAAGAAATGGATATTTCAGTTTTAAATAATATCATAGATACTATATCATAGGAATTATTCGAAGATGTTTTTAAAAACTCTTATCAATCTCGCCCTTTTCAACTGTACGCACGGAAAAAAAGTAGCTGTCGTAACTAAAAACTGCATGTGGTAACTAAATGGCAGATGTAAAATATGGACAGCTAAAATATAGGTATTATAGCTAATGTCTTATAGCTGTGATATCTATATTATAGCAGCAACAGCAAACTATTTCGCTGTAGTTTATAAATTTATAGTTACGGCAGCAAATATATTATAACAAACTTTAATAAAGATTAGCTGCGGCAGAGAAAATCTTTTTTTCTGTGCGTGTAAAAGTGATAAGATATTAACCCAGTAATCTTTGTAGAGATTGTATAAGTACATACAAACAACTCATTGTGTGTAGTAAAGAACCGGAAAAGGATCGCATGTACTAAAGTTAATTTAAAACTCAGAGAAATAAAAAAATTTTATGAAACTTTCGTGAAGTTCAATTTCTAGATATTTTTAAGACGCATATTTAACAAAAAAAGTTTATTAATATCTATTTCCATTTGTGAGATACATAACGAAATAAAAAAATTGTTCTTTTAATTATTTATAATTTAAAAAAAATTACTTTTTTTGCAACTTTTTATGCGTTATTTTTTTACAAAATCTCTACAAAGATTACGTTTAAAAAGTTTCTTTTACGTAATTCTTAGTCCTTAATTAATAGCAAGCATTTTACTGAAGTGTCTCTTTGCGCACGAAGTTTTTATCACCTCTTACGTAAACGTTGATTGCACTTCACGAAAGTCACTGGTAAATAATTGTAAATGCAATGTTAAAAACGATCGTTAGCGCGTGCAACGCTATGGGAAAATTTATTTTATGCGAACGATGAATTATAATCGTGAAAGTTTCAAAAATCAGATGATTTGTGAAACAGTCACGCCGTTGCGGTTCCAGAAACTCGTTTCCGGCAGACAAATTCTCCGTGGCTTTTCGCCAGACTTGCCACTATTCCTTCATCTCACCGACGCTAAGCTATCCCCGTTCCAATTTGCTCGGAAAATGTTTTTCCTCGCTCCGTGACTCGAAGCCGCGAACGGAGACGACTTGGAAATTGTAAGAACGTCTTCGCGCGCGTGAAGAAACGCTTGGACAAGACGAGACTTCTTCAGTCTTTCCAACATACACATATATCTCGTCGCTTAAATACTTCGAAGGTTCCGTGAACTTAAGAGGGTAGAACTCGGAGGATTCAAAGTTAAGAGCAAAGAATCTAATAGAAGAAAAATCAGGTCTTGCGTTTCGATTCGACGGTGATACGAAATATTCTCTTCTTTTAATTCGCGTTAAACTTTTTAATGCGCGTTCGTTACATTATTTTACTGAAATATCGAGAAGGAAAGTTTCTCTTTAATTCGTTTCTTGAAAATCGATTCACTTAATGAATTGAAGGAGGATTTTTCTAAGCGAGATTCGTCTTAGTTAGACAGGCGACGGGCAGAAAACGTAAGGCTTTAATAGCGGTTCCATTCGATTCCAATTAAAGACCATTCGAGACGTCGTCACAACGTGTTACGAGTTTCTCTTCCTGACGCTGAAATGCAAGCAAAGATGCGAAGCTGTCCGTTACGTTCTTCATGCATTACCGACAACTCGATTCCTTCCACGTTTCCTCGGGAATCGACTACTTTAGCTCGAGCAATGACGACAAGAAGAATCGACACTTATCTCGGTCGATCCGAGAAACGTGAGCAATAAAATAAACAACTAAATATTGCAAAAATCGTGAAACGTACATTTGTATCTTATTTCATTAATACACAATTGCAACGGCTTTAACATAATAGCTAACGTTAATCAATAAAATTGATTAACGTCCCGTAATAATGGTATCTAATATTCCCCTAATAGCGAGACTTTCGATCATCAAATTTCACTTATCTTCATCTCCGCTCCGCTACATATGAAACCAGAATCCTAGAACTGACTATCCAGGACGATCACAGGAAATTGGAACTGGTGCCTATCTAGCTCGATCTCATCCCGAAAATTCGATGATCGATGAACTATGTGCGTGCGCGAATTAAATGTGCATTATTAGCGATTACTCCAATATAAAGTCTAATAGTGATAGATGCTAATTAATTTATATCTTGTAAGTTTATACATATATTCGTACATCGAAAGTCGTACGTGTTTACTTAACACTAGAACCGCGACTGTGCCATTTTTGATCCATCTGATAGTTTTTCTTTTTCATTTAATTCGAATTTGCGCGTGGAACTTTAAATTTTTGTAAATTTTCATAAATAATCATAATTACAAGTAATTTTACTTTTGTGGCGACAACCCTCCCTCGTAAAAAGCTTAGATTTACCTTGAATCGTGATTGAGTTAATTTCAACCCGCGATTCTAATGTTAATATTAACTATTCCAATTTAGCCAACAAGTACAAATTTAATGACGCCAATTTTCATTCTATTGCAGAGTTTCAACGTACTCTCAGCCCTCGCCATGCATGGATTTTGAACTTCCATTTCCAATACGAGAGTCTGTGAAGCTAGGCGCGACGCAGAACGGTAAGTTTGTTAGATTTTCTAATAGTTCGCTTTCCATTGGCTCGATTAGATTAGCATATTGCATTGTTAAATGATGATTGCGAAACAACAATTTAATGAGCGACTCGTTTAATTAGGATTAGAACAATGTGTTGAAGGACTCTATTAATAATAATAAATATTCGCTGATCGATAATATAATAATAATAAACGTGCCCGATAAACGTAATTATCCTGTTGCGCTCAGATTCCGAATCCGATCGGAAAATGGAGACGAACGATGAGACAGATCTCCGCACACGCGCACAGTACGTGTATCACTCTCGAAGAATAATTCAGAGAGCCTTCAACATGGAACACGAGTTACGGTGCGATGGTGCGATCGATTCGAATTTACGAGCGATGCGAAATTTCTCGTCATGCTTCTTCCGCGTCTACACAACGTTTTCGTGATAATTACAAAGGATCGAGTAGAGAAAATTTCACACTAGGTACGTGAAACGTGCAGACGGAGGTGAACGTTTTTACATTAAATATAAGGATTTGCACGTTACAGAGATGTCGGAACTACGGTCGGTTTTCTCTCGTTATTTATTTAAGATGATTTTAATTTAGCTAAAGACGAAATGATGGAAATTGTGTAATGATTTTGGTCTGTGAGCTAAATTTTAATTAAATCTTCATGATTGTTCATATGAATGGTTAGCTCTCGCCCAAACAATAAACGGTTATATTCTTGCGGTAAAACGCGCGGTGAAAATCACGAGTTGGAAAATTCACGACAACATAAAGCATGAGAGAATTTAAGCAAGAACCATAAGAGAAATAAATTCGCTCGGGGATAGTTCCTGGAAAATTCCGAACGCTCACCTACTGGATACATCAGCATTTTTGAGGATAAAAGAGACTCTGTGATACGATATCGAACACCAGTCTATCTTCTTACTAGAAGCAGAGAACATAAAGTACAATAAGGGGAAAAGCGTATATCATGTATATGCCTGATCAAATTTCATGTATTACCACCGTATTTGTACTCGTTAAAAGGATTTTTTAAATTATCTAGAATATTTTATATTTAAATTAGATTAACAATTTAAGTAAAGAGAAATATAGAGCAATTGATTTATATATGATTTTGTCATGAAATTATTATTGAAGTAAAAACTCTTAAACAACTTTGCACTTACTACGAAAAAAAAATCCCTCTATTTTTCGCATTTATTTAATCTGTCGCAGCAAGCGAGCAATTGAATAATTGCTAAATACGAGACATTTTTTTACATGTTTAAGAAGGAAAAAGTCGCTCATGAATATTTCAGTAGCGCAAGCTCGAGTCTCTCTGAAACGCAAAAGTAAGAGGAACTAGAAGAACGCAGAAAAAGCATATTTTTTTGTAAGTAAGAAAAGCATTAATATATTTTTCTTAAAAGACAAATGGTACGTAGAAACATCCTACGCACTTCTCTCTCTCTCTCTCTCTCTCTCTCTCTCTCTCTCTCTCTCTCTCTCTTTCTTTTCTTTGCTGTTTCGCAAAAATTTTCAAAGAAATTTGTCGCGTGCAGAAAATAAACGGAGACAAACATTTAGCTCCGTAAAACATCATCATTAACTGTACGTAGGCGCGGACTAAATTTAACATTTTACACCATTGACATTGAACGTTACGTGTGATGAGAGACACGTAGAATGTAGCGTGGGCGTGGGAAGTACGTGCCGTTGCGTCGTGATAAAAAAAGACGATGCATAAAATTGCTAGTTAGAATGGACGTTAAAATTAATAGTAACACGTACTGACTGACATGCGAGCGTGTTTTGGAAGTATCATTGGTTTCTCTCTTCGCATTGCAATCAATTGGATAAAGTTGATCACTCGTATCGGTTGTTAAAGTGGTTCGTAGGTGGTTTCGTTGACCTATCGGTTTGACCCTGTAGTCGTCGATTATTCTTCTCTTTTTCGAATATCGCCCACGCGATTCTCTAACTTAAATATCCTGCTTTCCTCTGCAATTCAAGATCTCCCACGAGTTTATCGTTCATCAACCTACGCATTTCTTCATCAAATAAACTGCGTCTCATGATAAAACATGTAGATAAAGCGCTAGTTGAGCCAAGGGACAAGTTGGGGAATGCAAATATCTAAGTAGTTAAAATACATGTTTATGCTTGCATAAGATAACACAAAGACGGAGATTACTACGCTGAATACAATCTGTCAACATCCGATTAGGTACGTGTACTTTTCCGTTTTCGTGGATCAAAAGTAAAATTATTACGTGAGTATTCTTTTTGATCTACATGATAATTGAAACGATTAACAAAAACAAAATGTGTTTTTTTAAGTTAGTATATTTTTTAATGTTCAAATTGCTATTTTATTTACGAATTTTTAGTTATAAACAAATATTTCAATCGACACTGATGTAAGGCTGGTTTAGCAAAAATCATTACACAACTAACTTTATAAACTCAGATTATTGATGTTTTTTATTCTACGTTAACGATTAAAAATATATTTTATTTAATTTTTGTTATAACGGTAAAGTCTTTAGTTTTTTAAATTTTATTAATTAAACATTTAGGAAGAGTATTACAAATTATACATAAGATGAAAACTTTAATAAAGATTTAAGTAATGTACATATATCTCTTTCATTTTTTTAATAATACATAATCTTGTTACAAACAATTATCTTCATGGTTCAGCTTACTCTTCGAGATTGCTCTACATGCTTCATAGGTGAGGTCCATTAAACCACTTTACCTCTTTGTAATAAAAAAAATTTGTTTTTTTATTTACGAAATATATTAAGGATTTATAAGTATTAATTATTGAGCCACATGAACATTTTAGAGCAATTCTCATTATTCTATCATAATTGTATGTGAAGATTTACAATAATTGGAATAAAAAATGTTACAACTAGCTTCGCCCTAATGGGAACAAATATCATACATGTGTATCAACAGTCCATTTAACCTTTTGAACATTGTTCGAATGATTCGATTTACCAGACATTCTCTCAGTGAGCTCAGTGAATGGATTATTTCCGTTATGCGTCCTGTCTGTGAGCCATTCGCGTAAGGAGTAGATTCCCACGAAACAACATTAACGAGCAAGTTGCAAAATGGCCGGGAGAAGTTGAGCCGGTGGCTGAATGGATTAAAGCGCAACTACGTAGAGTATGGAATATCCGGCTTCGGGGCTCTCCTTCCCTCCCCTCCGAACCCATGCGAAACTTTTCGCAATTGTTAAAGTATTAACTCACTTTTAAAGCGGCTTTACTTTCGCGCGTTTTTTTACCGGCGTGGAGTTACGCGAAGCGGCACAAGAAAGCACTCCCCGATAATTAACTTAATTCGCGCTCCCACGTAGTCCTCTGTACGCGAATAGTATTAAACGGCGGCCGCTGATAACAATGCAATAATCGTATTTATGCTCGCTCTTGTAAAACATGTATTTTCATTCGCGTGTTGTTATTACTTTCGAGAATTTCCCTTAACCTTTTGTGCATAGGCAACGAGTCATTTAGAGTCATCCTTTTTTAGTTTGTACTGCTTGTTTGATTTTTATGAAATTCCGTTATGTGAATAATTCGATAATGCTTTATTCGAATTTGAGATCAAAAATAAAAAAATTTTAAGTAGTCAATTCAATATAGCAGATGGAAATTAAAAAGTAATCTAATTATCAACATAAAACTCAATTTTAGGGACTTTTTAATTGTGAAGTATATGTAACATTAAGTTTCCAGTTTCGCTTTACTTCTCATCACTGCTACGCAAACATAGTTAGTACTAATTTCCAAACTGACTTCCAAACTCTGATTATGAGACCTGTCATATTATATCCTCCTTCATTGGAGGTTATTACCCTTCTAAAATTTGACATTTTCAGACTATAATACATTCAAATTCAGCGATACCAGAGAAATCTCCTGAGACCGAGTTTCCGACGATAATCGAATTATTTTTTTAGGTGAAATTTTAGAATTCTGAGACCAAAATTGAATTCAGCGACTCTAAAAAACAAGATTTTCTTCTTCCTCGTTAAAAAGTCGTTCTCAAAGGATTAAATTTGCATCATGTTCCATATTAGACCTTCCTGTTTCTAAGTTGTTCTGAATATGTATGTCTTAAAGTATTTCAAATATGCTCCAAAAAAGAGTGTAAACGATTGTTAGCTATTTGCGTGCCTGCCTGCTATTACTGTCTCTTGGAGATTTGATAGTCGGTAGTACGGGCAACTTCTAAAATATTTGCTTAAACTTTGCCGACGTGTATTCTATACTGGTTACGCTAATAAAAAAAATGGCACATAAACATTGCTCGATTATTTTAAGAAATATTCTAGCGTGTCCAGAGACGTTTCCCATTCTAGAAAGAATTTGAGGTCGACTTGCCTGGGCTGGAGCTCTTCTCCCGTACCGACCTCATTCCATTTCCTCCTTTTCCATTGCGTTCTCCTCGTGTGCGGAACTAATGGTAAAATGACCCCGATGCTATCAGGATTGTATTTTGTACCGGGTCGAGTGGCACCTACATGAAATGACGTTACTTGTACGAGAGCGAGAACGCAACAAAAGTTAGATGAGGTGTGACGTTCAGCTGGACCGGTCACAGCACGAGTTACAAACTGTAAATCCTTACTTACATATGAGTTCTAAACATTGCCTATTTGAAAGGGAAAAGGAGAATAACATGATATTTCACTGGATATCAAATGAACAATAGTTCCCAATTCCTTGAGTTAAATAACATTTAAATAATATTTAAATAACATTTTGTTGTTTAACTTGCATGTGTGTCAAAATGTAAATCAATCCATTTCTGTGGTTTCAAAGTAAACAACGTATATTAACGTATGCGCTAATAAATAATAAATTAATCAAATTCAATACATTTTCTTGAGAGAAAATGTTTAACTCCATTATTTTAGTTAAATTAACAATATACTGAATAGGAACAGTGCATGCAACCTATAGAAATGACTAAAAATAACTAAAATTGAGTATACTTAA